AAATAACAAAAAGAATAATAATAGATTATTAATACTTTTTCTGTTCTTACTTAAATCAAATAAATGTAAAGGTCCATATGATTTTAAATCATGTTGAACCATTTTTTTTCGATTTATACGAAAACTAAAATAATAAAACGAATATATTAATTTAAAAAAAAAATTTATATTTCATTTATACCTTTTATGACCACTAAGTACATCATCTTTAGTTATTGGAAAATACAGTGAATTATGATGTGAATCTCGAAGAACATGATTTTCTGGTGTATCAATTATATATGGATGTATACATATGACAGGTACTTTTTCAGAAAAAATAGTAACAAGTGTTACTCGAATATATGAATCACGATTTAGATCACGCCATTTTAATGGAATCTATTTAAAAAAATAGAATATAAGCTAATAAGAAAATCTTCATAGAATTAATATTTAAGAAATACATATCATACATAGAAGAAAGCCTACACTGTTAAAAATATCAGTAAAATAATAAACCTTAAAAAAAAAGAATTTATTACACTACCATAAATTCTTAAAAGGTTTATGAAATCGATATAACCCATATTCGTAAGGTTTAGTATCGTACGATTGCTATTTTACAGTGTAGTAAATTCTTGAATGAGATGAAAGTTTAAATCTCATGTATCAAAAGCGACTCTAAGGTTTGTTCAATATTTGTTGACATTGGAAACTCAAGACAACAGTTTTGGTATAAATTAATTAATTTATTATTCTTCAACTCACGGAATGTTTGTGAACTAAATCAAATTTGAAATGTTTAAAATTTGTCTTATAAATTTGTTTCCGCTATAGAAAACTCTCATTTATCAATTAATTTCTCGGCAAAATTGGAACTTTAATTACTATATATATATATACGTTAACACATATTTAATATTCATTTCAAAATACAATGTGCTTTATTGGGTTTTGAATAAGTTTTGATAAGAATATCATAGCAATCTGCGGTTTTCATCATTCAAGATGGAAGATGTGGTGTCATCGCAGTATGTCGAAATTCGATTGGTCAGTAATTGAATAATATGGTGAGTTCTTGGTACAGATTTTTGAACATGATGTTCTAAAGCTATTTTTCTTTCATTGTAGACTTTTAATAAGACTAATCGATACAAAAAGACCTGTTTCAATTTACCTGAGGCTGATATTCTTAAATAACTCTGCTCGAGAGTTATAAGACTTGTCTAGAAATCCTCATTTTAACCAATAGAGTAATGACCATACGAAGAAAACAACTGAGCAGGGATAATTTACCGCATTGAGTCGAATGTTGGCATTTCTTTTTATGTTTGAAATAATCTAGCACTGCTATGTCAATATTTCTGAAATTTTACAATCAATGTCCATGTAATGAAAGAGTGAACATATCGGCAATACTTAGATAGTAGTGTCAGATCATTTTGAATCTAAAAGTCAATATCACTATTCGACTCTAAATTCTTATACCTCTCGAACAAAACAAGCTAGGAATGTCAGTCTTGTATAGATTGAAAGAGAAAATTTTTTTCTATCGCTTAGTCCTATGCAAAGAGTCAATCAAAAAGGACTAGCTTCAGGATTTCGTTCTTTTTGTAAATTTCTCTCTCAAGAAATTACTTGATTGATCAACTGCTGGCCAATCAAGTTTGGATATATTTTGAGAGCCTCAAGTCTTCTATCTTGAATAGTCAAGATCGCAAGTTTTCATGATGTTCCTATCAAAAGTTATTCATAAAAAAGTAGAGCACATTATATTTTGAAATTGGTACTAGATTTCAGAGTTTTGAGCTGAGAAAGTTTCAAAGTCTGAGATCAATAATTTTTAGGCTTTTAAAATTCTAAAAAACTCTTTACAAATTAGTGTTTCGTGATCTGAAAAATTATTCTGAACCGAAATCGAAACCGTCAAATCATCAGATAGATATGAAAATATTAAATCTATTTTGATAAATTTTTGGTATTAAATTGTTTAGATTAAATTTGCCGCATATCTCAATACTAAAATAAAACATGATTATACGTACGTACGGAACTGTTTAATCTCAAGAATGAAAAAATGAAGATTTCTCGACATAGATTTTAAAAATTTTTCATATCTATCTGATGCTTTAACAATTTCGATTTTGGTTCCAGGTTTTTTTGAAATCACCGAACTTTATTCTAAATTCTCAAATTTTTTTCTGTTCTTCTTTTGAAAAAGTCTGTTAATTAAAAATTACAAAAATAAAGGAGACAAAGTAGAAGACCTCCGTCGAAAAAATTGTACGCTACGATATAAGAGAAGGACCAGAATCTTCTCTTATAGGGAGGGCTTGAGCAGAAAAATTTGTGCAAAAAAAAGGAAACTCATTTGTTCAAGACAATCATCAATATTTTTATCCAGATTTTCTCCTCTGGAAGACAATATGGAACTCGAGGGCGGTTAACATGATTTTCGGAGACGCGTTATCCCGTCTTCCCACATGCGTTTACATGAAGCAATAGATTCGTCATGTTCCCTTCATTTTATAACTTTTCCCATTACGATTATCTTCCGACATCAGTTACCTATGATGGATTACACTGACATAATTACTATCATTTCCTGTCAAGAAACACGAATAACAAAAACATTCTTACACGTAAGAGATGCACATATGCACGCAGACCCTATCTGATAAAACGTGTCTCTCTTTTTTTAATTATCCAATGTATACATCTTTATCTATTTGCTGAGAATAGAAAAAGAATTTAGTCGTAGTTATTATTTTACAACATTTAAACAAGTTGAATTCATACTTCTTTGAATATCTCAACCAGAAAAAACCTATTACTTATATCATTAACTATTAAAAAAAATATAATAGAAATTTCATACTTGAACAGTTGGATATTCATGTTTACCAATATCATCATCAGCACGAATAAAACGTTGAGCTCGATGTTTACTTGGATCTGTTTCACTACAGTATCGTTCACGATAAAATGCTTTTGGTTGTGCTATAATTCGAAGTTTTTCGGAAGGATGTGTCATCAATGAAAAATCGATCTTTTCATCTTTTGCGATATTTCTTTCACGAAGATCAACAAATAAATTTGGTAAATATGGTGTTGCTTGTGGTGGAGAACCATTACTATTACTTTGAGATGGATATATACCAGATTTTGTATCAGTATTACCTGAAAATTACAATTGAAAAAAAACAAAGGAAATTTTTGAAAAATTAAAATTATAAATACGAACTTGAATCAAAAAAATTTGGTGAACCAACTTCACCTAAAAAAAGTGACATATATAAAAACCATGTTGTCATTCAATATATTTGTATATATCATATCAAAGATACTTTAATTCAATTAAACATTAAATAACTGATGATGTTAAAAATAAAATATATACCTATACTTTATTTTTCATTTTAAAAATATAATATATATCAATTTTTACGAATAAACATAGAAGAAACTAATCAGAAAAGTCAAAAATTACTTTTTGTTAATGTTATATATGATTAAAGATCTATTTTGACAACACTAAGATCTGTAAATGATGAAAAGAAATCTCTAACATACTATTCTCTGATATAAATAAAACCTAACTGTATAATTAGAATAGCTCTCACAATATATTTTATTCCAGAATATTTTGTATTTTTTGGTCTGAATGTCAGTATTTATTTTGGCATATAATGCAAGACTAAAACTGAATACTGATGAAGCACTTACGATTAGCTGACAGCTAAAACGAAGGCAAGAGTAGAGCAAATAAAAAAAAGATGTGCTCAGTTGCAGAATGTCAATTGAGGGTGTGTTTTTATTTTAGTGCAGTCAAAATATGACATACATATCAAAAGATAGATCTGCACTTATGAATATATACAACAAATCTTAAACTATAAATCCTTGTAATATCTTGCCGATCGCACTCCAAGGTGGTTTTAATGCTTTATCTACTATTATTCTTATGATATTCGTTTGATATGTTCTTCTTTGAGATTCGCTTCACTGGTTCTGAAACATAGTATTCAAACATCCAGTTAGATGAAGCCTTTGTTTCATTCAGTGTAAATTTGACTCTAGTAAGCATTTAACTTGTTTTTATATGTAGTGTATTTTTCTTATTAATATAAAATTAAAGTACTATTGAAGTCAGAACATAGTATTCTGGAGACCTTTTTTTTATTAATTACAGACCTTATTGTTGTCAGAATAGCTGTCTTATTATATACAACAGTCACAAAAAGTAATGTTTGACTTTTCTGAATAATTTTCTTCTATGTATATTTGTAAAAAACGACGTACATATATATATTGGATCAAAAATTAATTATAAGTATATATTTTATTTGTAGTATCATTAGCTATTTGCTATTTAATTGACTTGTAATAACTTTAATACGATATATATATATATATATAGGAAACTTACTGAGAACTTGATACGCTACATCAGGTGATGGTGAAAATAGATGTTCGTCAGGATCTAATAAGTCTAATGTGAATATATACTCATATTTCGATCTATTCTTACCATAATTTATTGTATCTGCCATTGAGTTTATTATATATTTTTTTTTCAATATAATCTATAATAACTTACACTTAAGATAAAAAAAAAATTTCTGTTATACTAGTGGAGACCTAAACTATAACATAAAATAATAACTTAATGTTGGTAGGTTAATTGGTTCATTTAAATATAAATGGCGTAATAGAAAATATCCTATAGCAAGAACGAATGAGAGAAAAAAATCAAAAGAACAAGCAATGAAAAAGAAACAGAGAAAAAAGAACAACGTGCTGAGTACCAATCCTAATCGGACACGTAGGTGGGAAAATAAACAAGAGTTATTATTACACACAAAAAAAAACATCGCATTAATCATAGCAAAAAAATCAAATTAAAAATAGCACTATTAAAGTAACGTTTTTAGTTTAAATTAATCAGTATTTTATTTTTGACAAAAAATGAAAAGAAATATTGTTCTATTTTGTTGTGTGTAACTTTTCTTAGTAAATTATAAAACTTTGTCAGGATTAAGAATATTCAATGGATCAAGTGCTTGTTTAATTGCTTTCATTGTTTTTATACCTGCTGGTCCGAATTCATCAATTAATAATTTTTTCTTTCCAAGTCCTATACCATGTTCACCGGTTACTGTACCATTTACACGTAATGCTTCTCTAGAAATAAAAAATGACAAACAATCAGAAGAATATTAATTTTGCATACAAACATACTTAGCTAAGGCCATACTATATTGATGAACTAATTCGATTTCTTTAGGATTTGTTGGATCAACAATAACAAATACATGGAAATTTCCATCACCGACATGACCAACAATGGGTCTATTTAAATGAATTTCAAATTTTCACGACATAGAAAAAAATAACGTAGTATTTATAATACCCTAATAAATTCAATCGTTTTAACTCATCTTTTGCAAATGTCACTATTTCAGGCAAAGCGCTAATTGGAACGCATACATCAGTACTGTAGCCCTAAAAATAAAAAAGAACTAGAAACTATGTTATTCGACTATTATCACGATCAAAACTATTTAAAAAAATAATTCTTATTCAAAATAAAAAAAAAATATATTCATGTAGTGGAAGAATTCCACAATAGTTTTGAAGAAAAATCTTCTAGACATTTTTTACAGTCCATACATATGAAAACAGATTTTCGTCTGAAAAAACAACGTAGTTAACGGCTTACAACATTGTATCATCGTATACATACGAAAATAATAGTAAAATCTATTTTGAAATAACAAAATAGAAATATTTATTACTAAAACAAGTAACAATGTATTATGCTTTTTTTTTCATTTACTACTCGCTTTTATCATCAGATAAGCTAAAAATATTTATATCATTTGGTCTAGCGATGTATCCTGTAGATTTATATCGTATCTTGTTTTTCTTTCGATATATATAAAATATGAATAAACTGCGACCACATGTGCACAAAATGAACAAAACATAGCTATCTGTCATTGGTAACAAGTTATAGATAAATAAGTTTTAAATATTTTTCTTTTCACATATACATACCTTTGAACCTGGTTTAATTGCTTGAGCAGCATACCACGCATTATGCCTTGCCTTCCATAATTCGGCACGCTTCTCAGGATCAGTAGCAAAATCAAATTTAAGACATTCAAATGATTTGCATGTGTCTTCTATAAATTCAAATAATCTATTTCATATCTTGCCAAATTAAAATACTTCTTTCATTACCTGCTATTTGTCCTTGAGCATCAATATTACTCTTACTACCATGAAACTCAAGAAATAATGTTGGTGATACATCAAGATCCAATTTTGAAAAACGATTACAAGCATCTACCATCTTGTCATCAAGAAATTCTATTCGTGCAACTGGTAAACCACTTTGCATTAT